AGAGGGAGGGTCACAAAAAGAAATAGAAAAAGAGGGAGAAAAACAAGCAGAAACAAACACCTACATACAGAAATCCGTAGGGAACGGAGAGGGGACCAACAGGCCAGGTGGGGGATTCTGAGACCTGCCCGCCTGGTTCGGTCTCCCTCCGAAACAGCCCAGATTCAGAGAGCTTGATCGCCGTCCCCTCCACCCCCACTCGCGGGGGCGAGGGTCCCGGATACCTGGCGAGGCAGGAAAGGAGCCTCTCCTGCTCACGCAGAGCACGGCACTTCCGATCGTTTCCTCTGAGCTAAGCACCGTTCTATGAAAGTGCTTTACAGACGGCAACTCAAGGAGGTTATACACCCGTTTTGCACACGAGGAAACCCAGGCACAGAGAGGCCAAGTCACTGTCCCAAGTGCGTGTTAGTAAGTGGCAACAGTCTAACATCAGGGTCTGGAATTATGTAAAGAGTGTGCCTCCTGAGAAGCCTCCAGATTGGAAAGGAGGAGGTCTTTTATTGTGGCGGAGGGTTGCCTCGACGGAAAGGAAAGCTGTTTTGAGATGGAAGAAACGGGTCATCCCCCAACTGATGGTCGGATGGGTCTCTTTTGAATGGGTGTGCCTTGAGAGAATTCTTAATTTGCGAGGATTCCTCCCCACATTGGCAAGTGTTTGATGGTCAGGAGGGTGCGCTGAGTGACAATCTGTTAAGACCTGGGAAGAAAACTTATTCTTAAAGGGGGTCTTGGTGAGCTGGCCGCCCTGAGTGAAAACAAGGGGGTAGAAATCATAGCCATAGCGCGCAGTCATGAGGGTGGCAAGCTCATTGTGGCAGGTTGTGGCCGCGGGCTTGTGTTGAGGTGGGAAGAGTCTGCCAGGCACACCGACTTGCCTCGTCGGACCCAGCTCGGGGGAATCCCTGGTGCGGCGCTTTCTGGGGCTGAGGGGCCTTCCCGGCCGGTCCCGTGAGCTGGGCGGCTGCGGGCGGCTTTGGCACGGTTGCAGCCTCCCGCTTGCCCGTGACTCACTCGCAAGGGGCGGGGGAGGGGGGCTTCCTGGAAGCCGTGACGAGGAGGCTCGACCCGGACGCCCGGGTTCCTCTCTCGTAACCAGGGCTTCTGTCGCCTGTAAACACAGCCTGGAGGACAACGGGGAAAAGGGAAAGGGGAGGTGCCTGGCACCCACCTCCCCGCTGGGCTCCAAATCCCAGTGCCGCTAGTAGGACGGAGGCGGCGGGAAAACGGGAGGTGGGGGATACCCTGGGGTCCCCGGAGTCTGGCTCGGCTCTGGCCGCGATCCTGGAGGAGTTTCGATTCCCTGGAGACAGGGAGCATTTCCCATCCCTGAGTCAGACGGACCCCCCCCTCCGCTCCCCTATCTGCTGAGTCATCGGCCCCGAGAGCCAGTACGCTAGGGATTGGAAGACGCTCAAAGAGGCTGGAGAGGGGGCTTTGCGCGGGGAAGGGCCGCCCATCCACCGAAACACGGACGGGTGGGAGCCAAGGGCTCGGGCCTCGGCCCCTCCTTTTTCAGATTTAGGGGTCCGGGTCTCCGAACCACCTCTTCGCTCAGATGCAGACCAGGCCCCCCAGGCCCTCCTACAACAGACCCACAAGTTCGGGCGCCTAGCCCTCCGTTCTCTCAAGCCTGAGTCTGAGCCCCCAGCCCCTCCTTCCTCCGATTTGGGAGTCTGGCTCCCATCCCCCTTTCCACCCCGTCCAGGCCCCAGTCGCCCCAGATGCCCCAGCCCGGGAGGAAGTTCAGGGCAGGCCTCCTCCCCGCTCCCCACGTAGCCAACGGGAAAATCCGTGGCCCCAGCGGCGGCCGGGAATCCCCTCTGGAATGACGGTGGGGAAGGGGATGGCCGGGGTCCCCCGCGGGGTGCAGGGGGGCAGGTCCTGGGCGGGCAGAGGGAGGAGGGAAGGGGCGGAAACCAGCGAGGCTAAAAATACGGCGAGCACTTCCGGCCTAGGGGGAGGGGAACGGAGAGCAGAGTTTCCAGAAAAACAAGCGGGGACGGGAAACGCGGGGGTGTGAGAGCCGGTGCGAGTGCGCGGGCGAGCAGGGGTGCGTGTACCCGCGGCACGTGTGCGCGCCTGGTGTGACTGGGCGTGAGCGGGGCGGCCGTGCGTGCAAGTGCGCGGGCCAGCCGGTGGGCGGACCGTGGCCGTTGCAGCGTGACTGTGTGTGCACTGCGGGCGCGAACGTGCGTGCCCTGATGTGCCCGGGGACGCAATTAGAAGTAGGTGTGGGACACGAGAGTGTGCGCCCCGTTTCCTGTATGAGGGCTGTGTACTTACGGCCCCGCCTGTCACGGCTGTGTGTATAAAGGTGCGAAACCACCCGTGCCTTTGTGGTCGACGACGCTGTTGACTTTAACGGCCTCTGGCTCTAGGGAGTGTGTACTCCACTGCGGCCGTCCTCGAGGTGTATTCGCAAGAACGTGTGACCCACACACCCACCTGCACATCGAGGAGTGCACTTGAAAGCCGTGTGTGTGTGTGTGTGTGTGTGTGTGTGTGTAAAGCCACCTGTGTGTCACTGTAGGTGGCCGTGGCTGTGTGCCAGCTCCCTGTAGCTCTTTTGTGTAATGGATGGTGTTCCCAGGTGTCTGTGTCCTTTTTTGGGGGTGAGGCTGAGAACAGGGGAGGCTAGAATCTGGATGAGGTTCCTCTGAGGCCCAGTCACAAGGTAGTGGCACTGGTGAACTTTGGTTCCTGACGTCTGTATCACACATCATGGGGAGGGCGGCTGGTCACTGTTTGCCATATCCGGGGGCACAGCAGGCGCGCGCACGCACACACACACACACACACACACACACACACCCCTCTTCTCTACCTGAGAAGCATGATCTATCCCCAGCTAAGGCTGCTTTTGATAATACTGAGCTGAGTGTAGGGCTGACTCAGCCTGTGATGGGCAAAGTCTGCGATGGGGTGAAAGATAGTGGGTTAAGTGGTGATTAGAGAGTTGTTTATATGTTCATGTGGTTGGATTGTTCCTTTAGAGTGTGTTTGTGGGACTGTCACTGGGTCGGAGAGCCTGGGGACACTATGATTGTAGGATGGTGGGTTATGCTGTTCTCTGCTCTGGAGGAGGGGTGTCATGTGCGCCCGTGTCCCCATGGTCTGTTTTGCTCTATGTGGCTGTGCATCTCACGTACACCCTTCCCTGGAGTTGTGGTTGTGTACCAGCCTCTATAATCTCCCTTTGGGTCTAATAATCTGGTAAAAATCTCCATGAAGGTTCTTCATGACTTGCCTCAACTTCTGTCCGTGCCCTGTGGTCAAGGCCTCCACATTGTTCCATAAACACATCAGCACATTCCTGCCTCATGGCCTTTGCACTTGCCGTTCTTCTCCCGGTGCTGCTCTCTCTCCAAATGCCCACATGCCTATTCCCTCTCCTTCAAGTCCGCTCCAATACCACCTTCTTAGTGAGGCCTTCGTGAGCTCTGTCAAGGACTTTTTAAGTAAGTTTTATCATCTATTTAACAAATAATACATATAACATCTATTTATAGGCTATAATAATAATGAGTACCCATTACCCACCACCCAATCTAAGCTCTAATGTCTTACTAATGTCTTTTAGTAAAGTAACATAATTCTCCATATGCAAATCTTGCATTTGTGTTAGATTTATTCCTGTAGATAGCATCATCAACTAGTGCCCAAGGCCTCCACTGCCCTTCCTGAGGGTCAGCCCGACATGCCACGCACTTCAAGAAAGGAACTTTCTAGGATGTGTTCACACACACACACACACACACACACACACACACACACACACAGGGCTGGCCATTTCCCAGGACCCTAGTGTGGGGACTTGGGCTCTGGGTGAATCACAGGTCTTCACAGTCCCAGGGTTTCCTTGCAGATGTGGGGTCTAGGACACATCTGGGGAGTGACACAAGAACCAGGGCACAGAAGGTGTTGGGTGGGGCAGTCCCACAACCCGGCTGACTCACTTGAGCCTTTCACACCCCAACAGCTGAGCTTGGGCTTGCCCAGGCCTGAAAGCCATGGCTGAGCTCTCGAAGCTCTCGTTCTTGGGGAAGTGGAGAGCCTGGTGGGCTCCTTCCTCTCTGAAGCCCCCTCCCCAAGGCCTGCTTCCCGGAGCTGGGGCCCAGGCGCCTGGGTTCTTCCCCAGGACTGATGATTCACCCCTACTGGGCCCTTTTCACTTCTCCTTTGGGGCTAAAAATACAGGGACCCAGGCATCCAGCTGGACCAGGCTTCGCCACGGATTGCACAATGCCCCTAGTTTGAGTGCTGCTGACGCAGGCTCCAGGTTCGGGTGGGGGAGTGAGTTGCTCCCAGACCAGGCATGCTGAGGTCAGGGCCTAGAACCCTTTCACTTCCCCTTTCCTTGGCTGAGGACCCTGGGGGCTGGGTTGACATTGGAAGTGTTGGGGATCCCTGGACTTGGTTGTGGCCCCTGGAAATGAAACTGCTTCCCCTAGCCCCAGTTAACCTAGGGCTCCCAGAATCTGGCCTCCTTCATAATAGACAGAGTCCCAGTTAGGAATTGGGGGCAGAAGACAGCAAAAGCGGGCTAGGATAGAGATGGTCAGAGACAGGGAGACAGGAACACAGAAGCACAGAGAGAGAGAGAAAGAGAGAGAGAAAATGGCCGAGAGAGAGAGAGAGAAAGTGAAAAAATGAGAGAGAGAGAGAGAGAGAGAGAGAGAGAGAACAGACACATGCCTTAGAAGCATACAGGACAGCTAGAAAAGAACAAAATCAGAGAGACCACCCCCAAACTGGGACAGAAGCAGGAAGGATTGAAGGAGAGGGAGAGGTCAGGGATCCTCGCCCAGGCCAGGCTAGGGGAGAGCCCCTGGAAGAGGTCATCAACAAGCAGTCCAAAGTGCATCCTGGGCTAGGGAGGACAGCAGGCCCCTGGGCGAGCAAGGCCCCGCCCTGCAAGCTCCCTGCTAGCCTCTGCTGCCCCCTGCTGGCTGTGGCCACAGTGCTCGGGCGGGAAGAAAAGTCAAAGACAAGGCGGCTTTGAAGTCACTCTTCATTCCCTCCCGGTCCCCTTCCCCTACGGCCTGCCCCACTCCCAGCCCTGCCAGCTCACAGGGTGCCCCCAGGGCCTGTAGGTGGTGCAGGTGTCTTGCCCGTGACCTTGTTGGCACAGTCCAGCAGAGCGGTGTGAATGTCCTTGGCACAGGCAATCTGGGCTTTGATGACTGCCAGGTACTGCGGGTAGGGCAGGCTGTCAGGCTGCACAGCGTCCGGTTTGGTGGCTGTGGGCACCAGCGTTGGAGAGTGCTTGGCGCTGTCGCAACTCTGGGACAGGCACTCGTGTGCCAGGCGCTGTGGGCAGGTGGGCAAGGTATGGCATCAGTGTCGCTCGCCCCGCCTACTCCCAACCCCACCCCAAGGGCCAGCCTGGGGTAGCTTGCTCAGCCTCTGGACTCCCAGGGTCTTGGCGTCAGAGCCTGGCCTCCCTGCCAATCACTTGCTGGGTGACTTCCGGTGTGCAGCCTGCTCCTCTCGGAGCCTGTTTCCTTCGCTACCTCATCAGGCAAGGACGAGAACGCGTGTGAACAGAGAACACGAGAACAGTGTGAGAGCCACGGGCACTAGCACGTCACCTTAAGTGCTAACTGATGAATGTCGGCCAGCTATTACTGTGACTGTCCTAACTGCAGCCTTTGGCACTGGCAGTGACTTCTCCGATGACACCTGCTCCTGGGTTTCCTCCTTCTTCTCTGGCTGCTCTCTCTAGACACTTCTTAGTCTACACAAGCCTTAAATGGGGGTAATTCCCAGGTCCCGTCTCCTCTCCCACCCTCAGGCACCACTCAGTTCCCACCTCTGCGCTGACACCGCATCTGTGTCCCCGGCCTCCCCTGGAATTCCAGAGCTCTCATACCCTCCCCACCAAAACGTTCCTCTTCCTGGGTCCCTGTCTCAGGAGCCTGTCTTGGTGCGGCCTAGCCCCCTTGAGTCCTGCCATGGTTGCCTCCTGGGGCTCCCAGCCTCCACTCTTGGCTCCTCGAACCCATCCTTCGTTGGGCAGCCAGAGGCATATTCCTAAAGAAGCCAGCAAGCAGGTCCACGGTCTTCTCTGCTTAAAACCCTCCGTGGCTCCCCAGCGCCCACAGGGCTATATTCAAAACCCAACAAGCCCTAATGCCTCCTACACCTCAGTAGCAAAACTGAGTTTCATGAGATTCCTAAAGGAGAGTTCAAGCAACAGCCTGTTCCTTCTGGCTGGAACACCTTTCTACCACCACCAGGCTTCTCAAATTCTGGTTTTTCTTTCAAAACCTAGTTCAAAATGATGACGACGACACTACAGGAAACATTTGCCACGTGCTTAGTACCACGTTCAGCTTTTTACATATGTGATCTTGCTGCCTTTCCCCAAAGTTAATTTCTCAAAGGAGAAACCCAAGGCTCACAGGTGGCAATTGGTGGTCCATCTGATTCCAGAGGCTGTGCTCTTAGCCACCCACTCTCCCCAAAACTCCTATGCCTCTTTCATTTATGTCTCAGCCTCAGCTCAGATGTGCTTTCCACCAGTAGCCCTCTCTGAGCCCCCTCTCCTTACCCTACCTTAGGCAGAGTCAGGTTCCTTCTCTGGCCTTCTACACTCCCCTGAGCTTCCATCGCTTTACTTTTTTGTTTTTTCTATCATTTTAATCCTGACACCTCCCCTATCATATCAGGCTATGTGCCTCCCCCATCATAGCCCTGACTTGTGTGGGCTGGGCTTTTCCTATCACAGATCTGACCACCCTGAGCTGTCATTGATTGAGGACATATGTCACCCCAGTGAACTGGAGGCTTTGTGAAGGCAAGGATCAGGACAACACTGTGTCCCCAGCATCAGCTGATGCACACATCTGGCCCACAGGAGGTGCTCAGTGTGTGTGTGTGTGTGTTGACTGACTGAATGAGGGTTCCTGACGACCTGGGGACTGAGGCAGGATTGTGGTGTCCCAGTGTCTAGAAGGCCCCTTACCAGGCAGAGCTCCAGCTGGTCACAGAGTGCGTAGAACTCCTCCAGACACTTGTCAAAGCGCTGTATAGGTCCGTCACTGCTCTTTCTGTAGTCCAGGAGAAGAAGGTGACTGGAGAATGGATTTCCAATCTCTGGGATGTCAGTGTCTACCCAACCAAGTATCCATCAGGAAACCAGTTTAGGCCCAGAAGCCCCAAGGCAGGGCCTAAGGGACTGTTTTAGAAGAAGCAAAAAGAGCAAGGCCAGACGCTAAGGAGTGGGGCTTGAAAATAGAAGGAAGGTGGGGGGAGGTGGATGGGAATCCGGGTATGAGTTTCTAAGACTAGGAAAAGGGGACTGTACTCACTGTCCGTTGTCAATGTTAGTGTTCTGAATCAAGTTCTGGGCTGCGACTTTCATCAAGGTCTAGTTTATAAAAAAATAAAAATGCACGAAATGGAGAAACAGAGGGGGATGCTTTTGGTAGATCTACAGTCTTCCTTAAGATCTATTCAATTTCAGGCCTTCTCTTCATTTGGCACGTCTCCTCCTGTCAATCCAGAATAGCACCTGTATTTTCCCAGAAGCCCGCTCTCATCCAGGGTTCTCGCCAGTAATCTCCCCGACAGATCTTAGATCCTCCTTCACCCACCAATCACGGGCAGAATCTCTGTACAGGCTGGTCCCTTCCTCAGGCTTTAACAACCAGAGCCTTTTTGCCCCTTCAAACTCCCTCCCACTCGAGTTCCGGCCATTCCCAGGCCTAACATTCGCGCTTATCCCGCTCACACTGTAAATCAGCAGAGCTTCGCTTTGGCCTCATCAAAAGGGCCAACTCATATTCCCGTTCCCTGCCTAACGCTCCTTTGCTCTCTCCCACACTACAGAGTCCCTCTGCCCTCCCCTGTCCCCCTTAGAGTCAAAGAACCAAACCCCGCAATCTTCACGCCGTTCCTAGCCAATCACCTGCAGGCTCTCCTTCAACTGCGGGATGAGCATCTTATAACGCTGCACTGGATCGAAGTCCTGTTGCTGTTGCTGCAAAAGCCCGCTCTGGGCAGGCCCCACTAGCTGTGCTGGTGGTTGCGGCTGCTGCTGGGGACCCGGGCCACCAGACGAACCCGGACCCGACACACCTGCAGCGGACGAAGCCGCAGCAGCCTGCTGCTGGGACGCAGCCATCTTCCTCGCTTAGCGCGCCGGAAATACGCCACAGGCGTGTCTCCCGGTTTCTTTCTAGCTTCTGTGTTTCCAGGCCCTGTTTGCGCGTTAGCTCCTCCTCCCAAGCAAGTCAGCCAATGGGGGGAAGAATGACTACCCGCACTTGACGCTCAAATAAAACGTCATACGGAGATACCGATTCACCAATCACAAGAGGTTTTTCCTCCTTCGCTCCGCCCTTTACCCAGCTATTTACCAATCCGGGTGTGGGTCTAATACGGACTCTATTTCCCAGAAGGCCTCGCAGCTTGAGGCTACTTGTCGGGTCCTCAGCGTCTTGGCGGCAGTTGGTGGAGACGGAGCTGCGAGTCCGTCTTTGGCGCTGCCTGCGCGTTTACCTGAGTCTCTACAGGAGCTCTTCTCACCAGCCCACATCATTCCGACCCTGCTTCCTCAGAGAGCGGCGCCAACCCGAGCCTTCCCTCGGATTAGGCGTCCGCCGACGTCGGTACACCCTTCCGCCTCTCCCCGCGGCTCAGCAAGGACCCCGTCCGGGCTTCCTTCGCCTTGTCGCCATGGCGCCCACCATCCAGACCCAGGCCCAGCGGGAGGATGGCCACAGGTAGGCGCCACGCCACCTGGCTGCACCGCTTTCCTCTGGGTCTATTCACGTTTCGGCGAGGCGGGGGGTCGGGCTCGGGTATTCTCCTACAACGTCAGCAGCCCCCTAGGTCTGCCCGTGATGTCATACCCCTCCCGCGAACGCCGTGACGTCACCGAGCGCTCACCTTTGACATAGGGGGGGTAGGTTCCTTCAGGGGTGGGGTGCTGCTCCCTTCTCCCTGCCATGGAGTTCAGGGATTAGACTCTTGGGAGGCTAAGTAGAAGGGGTTGTGCTTTTAAGATTCCAGTCAAGCGTTTGGAGACCCCCTTTTCCAAAATCAATTGAGTACGTAGTTGTATTAAAGCACTTGAAGACATCCCCTCCAAAAGGGATTGAGCAGCTGGCTTCATTCATGGAAGCATCTGCAGACACTTGTTTTTAAAAGGAGTTAAAATACTAGACTCCCTCCATTAAAGTACTTGGAGCACCCCTCCCAAAAGGGATTAGCATTTGTCACCCCCTTCTCCCCTCTTTTAAAAGCTTGGGGGCCCCCCCCCCCCCCCCTTTCTGTAAATCCTGTTCATCTTTCTGTCAATGTCTTTCTCTCTTACCTACCAGGCCCAATTCTCACCGGACTCTGCCTGAGAGGTGAGCCCCATTGTGTTTTCTCAGAGGGATGGGCCTGTGGGGGCTGGGAGCAGAGGCGGGGCAGCAGGGGCTAGGTTTTAAGCTACTGTATTCCCAGGTCTGGAGTCGTCTGCCGAGTCAAGTACTGCAATAGCCTCCCTGACATCCCCTTCGACCCCAAGTTCATCACCTACCCCTTTGACCAGAACAGGTGAGACTAACATGGAGGATGGTGAAACAACCCACTTTGAACAGGAGTTCCTTGAGAGAGAGAATTGCTTCTCTTGTTGGCCGCTTTTTTCAGAGCCTAGAACACTATCTGGCATATGGTAGTAGGTGCTCTATAAATATTTAATGAATGAAACCATCGGTGTCTAAGTCTTTACCCATTGAAGAGCCAGCCTTCTCACTCTGAAAAGGGGGGGAGGGGGGACACTGCGTTTTGAGTTCTTCCCGGGAGAAGCTTGGGCTCTGGAAAACAGGGATATGAAGGGTAAAGCTGGAATCAGGAAACCATAATAGGTGTGTTTCCCCACCCAGGTTCGTCCAGTACAAAGCAACTTCCTTGGAAAAACAGCACAAACACGACCTCTTGACTGAGCCAGACCTGGGGGTCACCATTGACCTTATCAACCCTGACACCTACCGCATTGACCCAAATGGTGTGTGAGAAGGCAGGGAGGGCTTGCACTAGGCCAGCAAAGGCTAGGACCTCCCTCATAGTCTTCCTGGCCCCTTGTTCTCCTCTAGTACTCCTAGATCCAGCTGATGAGAAGCTTTTGGAAGAGGAGATTCAAGCTCCCACAAGCTCCAAGAGGTGAGTGTGTGTGTGGAGGGGGGACTGGAGATGCGGGGGATCTATGATGGGAGGAGGGTGATGGGTCCTTGGTGCCTAATACTCCACCCCAGATCCCAGCAGCATGCGAAGGTGGTGCCGTGGATGCGGAAGACAGAGTACATCTCCACTGAGTTCAATCGTTATGGCATCTCCAATGAGAAGCCTGAGGTCAAGTAAGTTGTGGTGGGTAGGAAGGGAAAAGTGGAGATTTCAGGTGTGTTCAGTGACTCCTAAAAGCCTCTCTTTACTCCTAGGATTGGGGTTTCTGTGAAGCAACAGTTCACTGAAGAAGAAATATACAAAGACAGAGATAGCCAGATCACAGCCATTGAGAAGACTTTTGAGGACGCCCAGAAATCAGTTAACTGAGGGACCGGGATGGGATGGGGGTGGGAGGCAGACCAAGGTGCAGCTCCAGAGCTCCGCATCCTCCTCCTCACCCTGTTTTTGACCCCACCAGATCTCCCAGCATTACAGCAAGCCCCGAGTGACACCGGTGGAAGTCATGCCTGTCTTTCCAGATTTTAAGGTCAGATCCAGGGCAGGAGGCAGAGAGAGGTAGCCTGCCATCTCTGCTCGTCCCAGTCTAATCCCAGTGCTCTCCGTCCCCCAGATGTGGATCAACCCATGCGCTCAGGTAATTTTTGACTCAGACCCAGCCCCCAAGGACACAAGTGGTGCAGCTGCGTTGGAGATGATGTCTCAGGCCATGATCAGGTAAGTAAGTGGCCCCACTGCCCACCTTGACCTGCTTCTCATTGCCCCTTTGTCCTCACTCTTCACTGCTCTTCTCCCAACCAGAGGCATGATGGATGAGGAAGGGAACCAGTTTGTGGCCTATTTCCTGCCTGTGGAAGAGACACTGAAGAAGCGAAAGCGGGACCAGGAGGAGGAGATGGACTATGCACCAGATGATGTGTGCGTGGGGTGTGGGGTTTTGGGGACTGAAATTGGGTTTTCTTTTCTCCTTCATAAGGAAGAAATGGAGCTGACCTTGTTCCCCTCACCAGGTATGACTACAAGATTGCTCGGGAGTACAACTGGAATGTGAAGAACAAAGCTAGCAAGGGCTACGAAGAAAACTACTTCTTCATCTTCCGGGAGGGTGATGGGGTTTACTACAATGAGTTGGAGACCAGGTACTTGGCACACTCCTCCCTCGGATTAGCCTGGGCCTGTGCTTTCGAATCAAGGTCCTGGGGTATGTGGGAACTACCTTGGAGGTCATTTGTACGTAAGGATGGGTCGTGTGCATTTTCAGTAAGAGCAGCAGAAGCCTGCTCAAGCATGTGACCTGGGCCTGGTTTTAACATGAGAGCCCAGAAAGAAATCTCAAGATTGAGCTTTTTTGTAGGGTAGATAGCCAAGTTTCTTCTGATGTCAATAAGAGACTTCACGTGAAAGTAAACATAGGCAAAATACAGAGTAATATGTAAAATTAGCATAAATAGTTTAAATGAAATCCTAGATACCCAAATTAAAAATGTGACCTCCTGCCCAACTCCCCCGAGAGCTAAGTTTATTCCTGTGCTAGGGCCCTTGGTATAATTTGAGGGTTGGGAAAGGAAGTGTGATCCTGGGTTTGTTGAAAGCAGAGGTCACAAATTCTGATCCTATGTAAAAGGTGGCACAGTGGGCTGGGTGGGCTCTGGGTGACCTGGAGCTCTTGGCAACCTCCAAGAGGCACCATGACCTAGCCCAGCAAAGGGCTCCAACCTATTGTTACTATGCTATGGGGGTTGGGGGAGGGGAAGTCCCAGTCGGGCCATAGATTAACATTTTCCAGAAGCCAGCAATCTAGATTCTGTGCTTGAAGTGTTGGTAACTAATTCGCCTTAAAAATCTCTTATGGATACTCCTATATGTGTATGTGTGTGTGCGTGCACGCGTAGACGCTTTATAAGTACAGGAGATTGTGGAACTATTATCCTTCCTTTCTCCTGTATCCAACCCCTAAGTTTAGTCCCCTTCTCAAACTCGCATTTATTCTGGTGTGTTCTGGAGTAAGCAGCGGTAAGGAAGTAAGAACCAAGTCAGACTAGATACCAGAGTGGGGTCTTCAGATGCATTTTCTACACACACCTCTCCACCACCGTGCCCGCTGCAGGGTCCGCCTGAGTAAACGCCGGGCAAAGGCTGGGGTTCAGTCGGGTACCAATGCCCTGCTTGTGGTCAAGCACCGGGACATGAACGAGAAGGAATTAGAAGCCCAGGTAACAAACATCACTGGCCCAGGGCACCCGTAGAGAGTGGTGGTGGGTAGGGAGAGACGCAGAGGCCTGACAGAACACCCTCCTTCCCCTCAACCATGCTGCTTCCAGGAAGCACGGAAGGCCCAGCTGGAGAACCATGAACCTGAGGAGGAAGAGGAAGAAGAGATGGAGACAGAAGAGAAAGAAGCCGGGGGCTCAGGTAAAGCTGGACAGGCCGAACCCCAGGAGCCCTGGGAAGGGTGGGAAACTGGGAACTGGGTCTCACCTCTCTCTGCTCCTTTACAGATGAGGAGAGAGAGAAGGGCAGCAGCAGTGAGAAGGAAGGCAGTGAGGATGAGCGCTCAGGCAGTGAGAGCGAACGGGAAGAGGGTGACAGGGACGAGGCAAGTGACAAGAGTGGTAGCGGCGAGGACGAGAGCAGTGAGGATGAGGCCCGGGCCGCTCGGGACAAAGAGGAGATCTTTGGCAGCGATGCGGATTCAGAAGACGATGCGGATTCTGATGATGAGGACAGAGGCCAGGCCCGTGGCAGTGATAATGATTCGGACAGCGGCAGTGACGGGGGTGGCCAGCGGAGCCGGAGCCGCAGCGCCAGTCCCTTCCCCAGTGGCAGCGAGCACTCAGCCCAGGAGGATGGCAGTGAAGCAGCAGCTTCTGATTCCAGTGAAGCCGATAGTGACAGTGACTGAGTCCCAGGTCCTTCAGGGTTGGTGCAGACACGATTACAATGCGATTATTATGCGCAGGAAGGCACTTTTCTTCGGGTGGTCTATTTGCGAGCCCTTCGCTTTGTTCATTTCCCTCCTCTGCAAGCCTTGCTGTTAATAAAGCCAGTGTCTTTTCCCTTTACTCCCCCATCCAGCCCTATGGTCTCATTCGGCTTACACCTCGCCTTCCCCCCACCCCAGGAGCTCCAAGGCCTCAGG